CTTCCTGGTGTTCGGCAGGGAGCTCGTTACATGTGGCTCGCATTATTTAGATAACGATTTAGGCGATGAGGTTTTATTCCTTCCCCGTGACATCTACGCGGAGGATTTGGGTTGTCTTAAGGAAGTTTTCGATACTGTAAAGGCCAAATTGTGGCATGCTCATGCTAAAAACTCAACCCACTATAACCTTCGGCGCAAGCCTATGGAATTTAACATTGGTGACACTGTAATGAAACGCGCATATGTTTTAAGTGATAAGGATAAGTTCTTTAGTAAAAAACTTGCGCCAAAATTTATTAAATGTTGCGTCATCGGTAAAAAGTCACCCCTAGTTTACATCCTGGCTGACATGTCTGGGAAAGATATTGGCACCTGGCACATCAAGGATTTGAAATTAACAGGACACAATATTTAGTCATATATGTATACACTTTTTTTTAAAGTGGCACTTCCCCGTGTGGTGTCGGGTTAGAATAGCACCACCCCATTTCTTCCTGTGGGTGTCGTAAAAGTCGACTAAGGGATAGGGTAGTAGTGTGTTGTGGGAGATGGGCTAGCAACCATCACTGCAATATCACAAGATCTCCATGTTACACCTACAAGTACACTTAATTAAGTTGCATGTGTTCTGCTTGTTACTTAGGAATACACTAGCGTTATATTTATATATATACATGGTGCTCGTTTTACCCTGGTCACACTTTTACATCTTTAGCTCTAGGTATTCGTATGGGTCTTCCAGTCTAACCGATGCTGGAACACCTTGCCAAATGACAGGATGCGTCAACTACCCTATTGATGTTCGTTGACGCTGATATAATCGCGTGAAGTATGAGAGATGTTGTATAAAAGGATAATGCGAATACATAACAATTTAGAGCGGATTTTATTAATTAAGAATAATAAAATCCTTATGTAGCGCGCGGGGTACTGTAACGTTGCACGTACATGTATGCATAATTATAGTTAAACGGTTTATTAAAATTAAATAAACATTTAATAAACTAAATAAAAATAAAATAAAAGTTATTAACAAAAATAATTCTATAATTAACTTAGGTATCCTATTAATAAAACAAATCAGTAAACTAAAAGAACGAATTAAATAATAAATCAAATATTAAAATATTGTATTTCGAACAAACACTCTGACGCTTCGTTACTCTATGCGCTTTGCAACTCTCGCGTCAGAGTTTTACCCGGCCGGTATCATTCCACGGCGTCGCGCTCCCGAGCATTCTCCGCCCGAGCGCCCTGGGAGGCGCACACTACCACTGCAGCCGCGTTCACAAGCTCTGCTTTGTGTCCTCGTACGCGCTTGCAAATTTTAATCCCATTTTGGAAAAAGTTTAAAATAATATAATAATTCCGGCACTGTGGCCGTATAGTTTTTTCGTTAATTCTCGTCACCGAGACCTCCGTATTGTCTTGTACCCCGTAAGGGTAAGTGTTGAAACGTTACCTAGTTTTAAGTAGTGAAAGTGTTTTATAGGTAGTGTAATTTGATCATGCCAGGCTGTTTGCTTTTAGCTATTTAATTGCCACGTTATTAGTGTTATTTGCATGTAAGTAATGTATGTAGCCGCTGTGCGCGTTGGCAAAAGTACCGTTACAAAATGGCGTCTCATACATTTCGCACCGCGATCAAATATCGCAAGTCACCATCATGTTTCAACCAATGCACAGCCTAAATTAGTTCTGGTCGGCCTAAACGGTTCTAATCCTGGTACATTTAAACAGTATTTTACACTTGCCGTAATTTTAATTCATGTGTATTTTAATTTGCGCCTCACCGCTATGACGCTTGCCTTCCATTCCGCCTTGTAACTCCGTTCTGATTATGAACACCCGCCAGCTACTCTCTGTGCTCCCATCTACTGCTAGCCTGCGATATACCGGGGGGTTCATAATCGGCGGCATTTTATTACCTGGACCTAAATGTGGACGACGTTGTTTCCAGGGTGCAATTTTACGACTACAACCGTGGCGGTCGTCCTTCTTAAGAGGGCCTAGGCCTCCCCTCGACGCCGCCACCGCCACAGCCAGCTGCCCACGGCGCTCCCCGTGAACAGTCCAACCCCCCCGGCCCTGCTCGACCACCTCGCGGCCACATAGGGGAGTACCTGACCCTGCCAGTGAAGCCAGACGGGCACTTTTTTTAAATTATCGGAACCACGCCCACGACCTTTTCTTTTACCAATACATAATTTTTTTTATGACTGGTTGTTGCCTTATTTTAAACACAACCGTCTCAGGATAAGTAAAAAGATAAGTTGGCAATTTTTTTAATTGAATACCTCACTTTTTAGGAAGTAGTATGTATGTTTATTTCGACTAAATAGGGGAAAAATAATACAATATTAATGTGAAAGAACCATTGTTTTATTTTAATAGTCTTTTTTTTTGGGTCAATTTTTTGTATTAATCCGTTTCGTATCACACGACGAAGTCCTTTATTTGTGTAATAACAATCGTCATCTTCATAATGTGTCGAACAAACTACGCTGCGCACCGTTGGATTCCACGATGACCCATTCGGCTAACTCGGATTACTTCTATCCACTTCTCTTTAACCTCTTTATTTCGGATGGGAACCTTAAAATTATAGATTATTGAAGTGATGATAAAACATGGAAAAACAAAAAAAATGCCTATTTACACTTACATTAATTTTATGAATATTAAAAGTAAAATAGAAATAGGTAAATGAAATTGATTAAGTTTCGTGTCACATTAATAACTTACTGAATAAAAGGGGACTACAGTGACGCTTACTAGTGGCAACACTTGTAGAGGTTTTATGTTCCAAGCTGTAGTACAGTACTGCTGTACTAATAAATAATAAAAATGATTTATTAAAATTTGGATTTTTAAGTTTACTTACGTATGAAATGTGATTCCATCCTGTTTTTATTTCTGGAAGATTGGTTTTTACTACCCTTTATAACACAATTCGGCATTTTTTCTTTAAGAATTGCGAATTATTATAGCGTGACACTCCGTGCGCTGGAATAGCACGAATGACAAGGTAAGGCGTAGTTTCGTTATATGTGTGTGCGTGAAACTGTATATGTACAAGGCGAGGCGTAGTTTTACCGGCCTCAGTGCGTTGTTCGGCGGGGCTCTGTCTTGAGTTTTTATTTCGTCTGAGCGGAGCACGAAACGAATATACGCATTATCACGATGAGTGCGACCTACACATAAGCAAAGGGCGTTAAATCATGGCCTTTATTTAAAAAAAGAACGTTCACATTCTGCGAACTCGTCCGGTATCGTAGAACCGGACAGACACGAAACAATTATTTTTAAGCCAAATAAATTTTTTGTGCGGTATATGTATTAGAGCCCGCGGTACAGAGCGCGTGCTTACCACTACGCTGCCAAGTAATTTTACTTTCACGGAATAGTAAGCTCGAAATTGGCAGTATATTAACTTTAAGTAATTAGATTACTTTCACTAATCCGACCACGCGTAGTCTTGTGAGGCTATGATATTGGCGAGCGTCGAGACGCCTCTGCCGTTGCTAGGTGACTGCAGCCAATCGATACCGTTACAAGAGGGGATGTGCAAAAGTCAAATTCTGATCAAGCGTTGCAATTATTGAATGAATTTATGCATGTGAAGAGTTACTAGCTAGTACCTACTAAGATATTTTTTTATTAATGGAAAATACCGAAATAAAATAATTCAATTAAAAATTAATTACAAGGTGTCTGCGTCCGCTGGAAAATTAACGGCCTCTGTCTTCGGCGATGCAGAAGGTATAATAATGATCAAATATTTAAATAAACATATACTGGACATGTAGCCAGACTTACTGACAATCGCTGGACCACAAAGACAACATGGTTAGGACCATCAGGCCAAAGAAAAAGGGGTAGACAAAAAAACAAGTGGACGACATTATAAAAATAGCAGGTACCCAGTAGTAGTAGTACCCACTGGATGCGAGTAGCAGAGGACAGAAAACATTGGTCATCTCTGGAGGAGGCCTTTTCCCCCTTGTTGAAGAGGGGTTCTTGCAATCGTACATATACACCAAAAAAAACGGTGATTACTACTAACCAATTCTACACTGTGTGTAAATTTTAGGAAAATTTAATTTTAAAATAATATCAGGATTCATTAAAACTTTTAAAATGCATTCTTTTAATGGTTTGAGACAACTATTAGAAGTACCAGTAAGAAGTAATTTATTGCAATAAATTAATGAAATTGTAAGCCTATTATAAATCTTGTTCTATTACAAGCACATAATTATCAAAAGTAATACTTACCAAAATACCTACTTACTTTTTTCTTTAGTAACTTCTAGACTAAAATTTAAAACGATATTTCCAGAATAATTTTCACCAGTTAAGGGGTATAGTGTCAGCTCAAATTCTAATCTCGCCCACATTTCCCCGCGCGTCGTATGCTATGTACCGACATGTTTGTAATCACTAATACTGTAAGTAGATAGGTCGTTAGATACTTATTTCATTAGGTTTATCATATTTATGCCTGTTTCTTAACAAGTTAAACGCCGTGGGGGACAACATATGGGCCCCACTTATTTAGTAAAAGGAGCCAGGTTAAAAATGCCCGATTGTTAAATTTTACGTTTATGTTTTTATTGCTTTATGGGCTAGAAAATGGGCTAGAAAATCACATGAAATAAATCGAAGAAAAGTAATTTGTGACTTATTTTACCAAAATACTACTGTCACTCAACAGTTGCCCCCCCCCCCATGGCCCACGCAGAAATAAATCGCGTTGTGCGTTGGCGGGGGCCGCGGGGCTCGGGGTGTCGTTCATCCCCGCTCATGTCCTGACGACCGCCGGCCGTCTCGATGTACACGATTCCCGCGCGCCCGTGCAATGACCGTTTGGACCACAGAACACTATTTTTGGACTACCTAGCTACCTACATTGGTTACGTATCGATTCGAGAATTTTCTGTTTATTTGTTTACGTAAATTAAAAATTTTTATGGCATTTCATTAATTGCTTTATTATAATGGATGAGTTCGCAGATTTCGAAATAAATCAGGGAGATTTATCACAAATAGAAAAATTAGAATTCACCTTGTTTAATAATAGTTTCCATGTAAGCTCGGAAGAAGAAGATATAAATATCCATCCAGTTACTCGTAAACGTCGTCATATTATGGTGATAGACAGTGAAGAGAGTGATGCGGAAGAACATGCAGTTCCAGATACCTCGGGAAACACTACGCCGTTTACACGTACATGGGTACTACCAACAGGTAACCAGCGTCGAATTATACCTTTCACAGAAAATCCTGGTTTGCCTACTAATCTCCGCTTAGCAATGACTAACAAATCGTCTGCTGATTTTTACTCTCTTTTAGTTCCCGATGATGTTTTTATGCAGATAGTTGAAGACACAAATCAGTTTGCTATTGATAGAAGCACCGGGCGCGTGGCTTCAAAAGCAGCGAGAATCCGTAACTGGTCTCCTTCTAACGTGCATGAGATGAAACGCTTTTTTGCATTGATCTTCCTAAGGTTTCCGATTATTGGTCAAAAAATGAAATAACAGGTCACCCGTTTGCAGGAACAATTATGTCTCGTAATTGCTTTGAACTGCTTCTTCCCAGCTTGACAATGCTCACAAGTCTGATAGGTTACATTGCGTCAGACACTTACTGGAGGTCATGAACACTAATTTTTCAAGGCATTATACTCCTACCGAAGATATATGTATTGACGAAAGCGTTGTGCCATTCCGCGGCAGAATCATTTTCCGTCCATATAACAAACAGAAACGTCATAAATATGGCATAAAAGAGTTTAAATTATGCACTTTACCGGGGTATACATATAAAATAAATATTTATGCGGGAAAAGAAAGCAATCAAGTGAATAATACGCCGGAAAACGTTGTAATGTCACTTTGCAGTGGCTTGTTGAACAAGGGTCACACGTTGTATACTGACAATTGCGAGTATTGACTTAGCAAGGAAGCTGTTGGAAAATGAAACACACCTAGTGGGTACTATTAGAAAAAATAAAGGGAATATTCCAAAACAGGTTGCTAACGCTAAACTGAAGACAGGTGAATATATAGCTAGAGAGAGCGAGGATGGAATAACTATCATAAATTGGAAAGATAGGTAATAGGGACGTACTTGTTTTTTCGACCAAACATTCCGACCGTTTCCAGACAATTACAAAGCGAGGAAAAGCGGTATCGAAGCCAAAAATCGTGCTAGACTATAATGGGGCAAAAGGAGCTGTCGATTTGTCCGACCAAATTGGGGCTTATTCCACGCCATTAAGAAAATCGGTAAAATGGTACAAAAAAGTTGCCATAAACTTGCAGTTGTCAATGCACTAGTATTATATCAAACAGTAACCGGGACGAAAATCCAAATTGTTGAATTTAGGAAACAGGTGTTGAATGGCCTGTTAATGAGAAGTGAAACCTCAAGTCAGGTTTCAAGACCAATAAGAATGAAGCATAAGCTTGCCAGGAAAGACGGACAAGCAAAAATTGTCGACGAACATGTCAGCAGTGCTACAAAGACAATACTAAAGTAACGACGAGTATTAGCCAAAAACAAGACGAAAAAAATTTGTAACTTTTTGTGAAACCTGCCCTAAGAAACCATTTCTTTGTTTTGATTGTTTCCATAAAATTCATTAAAATATTAGATGTAGTAGCGTTGATATTGATCTCAATCTGAAGTCTGATTTAATTTTATTTCATTTAAAAACTGTAATAAATAATAACATTAATAAATAATTATTATATTTCTGATTTATAAACCTATAGTTTAATTCATCAAACTATCCTCGTAAAATTAAACCCTAACAGCTGTTGATGTAGTACAACTTTCACCAGATACAGCAGAATAGTAACAGTATACAGTATTTTACAACACATTATAAATAGTAATTCTATGGAAAAATATAAAATAACACATTATCGTACACACTTTTTCCTTAAAATCTTTCAAACAAGTCTTGTCCCGAATTTATTAGTCATATTTTTTACTAAAAACCAAATACAATCTGTTTGTCTGCAGGGCCGTGGGGGTCACGTCAAATACATATTAGCTTCATGCCGGACGGTCCAATAGAGATGTTTAAAATTGCCTCTGACTCGCGGTCATATGTTGTCCCCCGCGGCCCCAACGGAACAGTTAAGTGTCGACCAAATGGTGCCCCCATGGCCCAAATGGAAAAACGAAGAAAACGTACTGGCGTTCAATGTGTTAACGCCAACTCAGTTGCTTCTTATTTTTATTACGATTATTTCCCATTTTAATTTTACGTCGTCCTGTTGCGTAATGTGTATTCTGATCGTAAGCGACACAACCTCCCCCTTCAAAGACCGAAGCGAAATTAACCGGGCACCGGGCGGCAGGAAACAGGAATCAAGCTTCAAGAGGCCGATAGTTTAGGTAATTTCTTTTTACAGTGAAAATAATGGTATTGGTATGGTATTTAAAAAAAAAGTAAATAACATAAGCACTGCTTTATAGTTAGTTCAGTTAGTATGCAAAGTTTCATGATCTTATTTAAAGTATTTTATGAATAACAGCGGTTTATTGTTTATTTTGGAGGTAACTTTGGATTTTTTTCTATCGAGAAAATTTTACGGAATCGCGTTTTCGTCTAACATAGTCCTTAACATTAATCCTCAACTTTATCATATATTTATTTCAAAATTAATGCTGCAATATTTTCGGCATAACGGAGGATCTTGCTAAGCCATTTGAGTTTATATTTCCCCTTAATATATTATAAAATTTTAATAAATATGTTATTAAAAGAATATCCAATTCAGAAATCTAGATAAACTTTTAGTAACATAATTATTCCAGCTACGAGCGCATTAAGGTGGACGAAAGATGTTTTAAAAACATCTTTGGTGGGGACTGACGTGAGTATTTGCTCAATGTGAATATTCGCATAGAGAATTTGTTTGTTGTGATTTGTGAACAAATGCTCATGACACCTGAATCTTCGCGACGAATATATTATGCATAACTTATGATTGTGCTCCAGTACAGTAAAAGAAAGCGTATTTGGACAAAGAATTTGTTCAAAATGAGAAATAAAACGGGCGGATTGAACAAACATTGTGTTTCTCTGAGTCCATACATTTTACCAAACGCAAAAATAGGTATATACCACGGCACAAACAGAGGAACGAGACGCCAAGGAGTTTAGTAACTATATAAGGAAACGAGACGCTCTCGGTGGTGCTCGCCCTGGTAACTGACTTTAAATGTAATAACAGTAACTGTAAAAAATTGGACTCGCGATCAATGATTAATTCATAATATATCGTATAGACTTATGCAGTGTAAACACTATTTAATAATATTTTAAATACTTACACGAAACATAACAGTTAAGTATATTAAAGTGCAATAATAATGTCCAACAAAATTACAAAACTAAACGTCTGTCCACAAGTCAACAACTAAGTCGAATTATTTAAAAACTGCACTTTTATATGCTCTGCGAACAAAAACATCGCGATTAAAATAATATAAATAAAATTAAAAAAAATCCCCACAAAAATAAGATTACGCCTTCTTTATAATGAGTGAGTATAAACACATATTATTACAAGTATACACACGTATTTATTTCTTAACTATATTTATGTAGCTGTGCTATCCGTCATATTGTCTTTTCATTATGAGTATATAAAAAATAACTTTTACATTTTATAATTTTAGACACGGCGGCCAAAAGTACTTAAGTCAATTTTTGCGCTAAATTCTAAAATGTCACAGCAATCGTTTTTATCAACACATCGAGCGGCGACAAAAATTACTTAAATTGACTTAAGTTTTTTTATACCGCAAGCTGACTGACTTAAGTGGTTTTTTACAATGGTCCGTTTTTGTTCTTTATAATAATTTGAAGTACCTACCCCCTTTTTTAAGGGTCTGATAAAGTGGTAAATTTTAGTTAAGTCAAAAGAAATACCCATTTCTTCATTAGATGTTATTTGTTTCTGTAAGACGGTGGTGGTGTACGTTAAGTTAAGTGTACCGCAATGGATTCAAGAGCAAGAAAATTGGTGAATCTCGCCATAAATAATGACAGTGCAGCAATGAATGAGAACACAGGTATGTGGTGAAGTTCTTTTTTCTGCTCTTATCCCAGTAATTTGTGTCGGGGTAAAAGTTTTTTGATGTGAACGTTAGTTTATCATTCTATTACAATGGGTAATATGCAAAACTGTTTAATAGCTTTAGTTGAGATTACCACACTTCTTTAGAAAGTTCTTTTTTATATTTAAAAACATCACAATTTCCAATCTGTTATCAGTTTTTATTATTGTTGTTTTTTACAGGTGACGAAAACCCATTCAGTAATCCACAACCAAGTACATCTGGAACCCTAAAACAATTTATTTTAGATCAAAAAGTAAGTGACTTTTCTAGTGACGATTCTGTGGCTGATCCTAACTACACTCCGGGCAGTCCTAGCTTACTTACACATCATAAAGAAATGGAAATTGCTGTTCCTAATGCATCAGTGGATATGCATATAACGCCAGGCAATTAGACACCTGAAAACATTGGAGATATTTCTTTGATACAACAAAACCAACCAGTGTCCTGTACAAAAAAAGAAGCAAGAAAACAAATTAAAAAGAAATCTTGGCCAATCTTATGTGACAGCTTCTGGGAAACTATTGGAAAACGTCAAATGAAGGAATTACCTAACTGTCGGAAGAAGTGCCGACAGAAAATAAGTGATGAACAGCGCGCTTTGATACACAAGGAGGTTTGGAATCTTGGGTCTTACGATTTAAGGGCAGCATTCATTTCATCTTTGATCACTATCCAAGAGAAAAAAACTGAACGTCTTCGTGTCGAAGATCCTGACAAACAAAAATGTAGACAGCACACTTACAAGTATCATTTCAACGTTAATAGTGAAAAAATATCGGTGTGTCAAGGGTGTTTTCTAAAAACCCTATCAATAAGTGATAATTTTGTTAAACTAATCGGGTTGAAGAAACGTAGCAGCTCAAGTGGAATTATAAAAACAGACAAACGTGGGAAGAATACACCACCGAACAAACATTCTGAACAAAAAATTGAAGAGGTGATTAATCATATCAATTCGTTTCCGCTGTATGAAAGCCACTACACTAGACGCAAAAGCACCCGGAAATATTTACCATCGTATTTGACAATATCAAAAATGTATTCTCTTTATTCAACTTCACATGAAAATCATGTAAGTGACAAGATTTACCGTAGAGAATTCCACAAATTAAATTTAAGTTTCAAAAAACCAAAACATTGCTACGGACGAGACGAAAAAATCTGCTCTTGAAACAGAACGGGACGCACACTTACTAGCAGCTGATATGGCTTACAATGAGAAGAAATTGGACCAAAATACCGCAGTTACAGATAAAAAAATCAAGTGTCTGTCTTTTGACCTACAACAATGCTTGCCAACCCCAGCTTTGCAATCATCTGTAGCCTTTTACAAAAGACAACTTTGGGCCTTTAATCTTACTATACTTGACAACGGAACTGGAATGTCAACGCACCACATGTGGCATGAGGGTTGTTTGTTTTTATATTTAAAAGAACTTCCTGAAGAAGTTTCAGAAGTAATTTTGTACTCCGATACTTGCGGAGGACAAAATAAGAACACCCATGTGGCTGCAATGTTTACCTACTTGTTGTCAGTGAAACCCTCTATTAAGTTAATAAATCATAAATTTATGGTACCTACACACATATGGAGGTGGACTTGGACCATGCAATTATAGAAAAAAAAAGAAAAAAACTGAAATTGAAATTTATCATCCACATGATTGGATACAATTAGTCAGGTCGAGCAGCAAAAAATTTACAGTTAAAGAAATGCGGCATGCAGATTTTTTTGACTTCGCTGGATTATTGAAAGGGTCGTTAGTCGTCCGAAAAAAAAACGATGATGAAAATATTTTCAAATGGCATGATGTGAAGTGGCTGTGTTACGAAGCTGAGTATGGCGTCAAAATACAAAAAATGTCTGTCAAGAGATGAATGTTTCAATAGCTTTAATTTCAAACGGAACACGTGACGAGAGAAGGAATTCAATTTGATGCAGATTACTGCAAAGCTGGTACCAATAAGCATTGAAAAAAAAACGTGACATAATATCACTTTTATCTTTAATACCGGAATGTTTCCATAATTTTTACCAGAATTTAAATCTAGACACAACTGATGTTGATCCAGATATACAAAATTCTAAAGAAAGTAGCTTTTATTTTATTATAAAAACTTAACTGATAAGCATCATTATAATTATTAAATATTATTGATAGTTCATTTTTATATTTTTAAACATTAATAAGCTACGTAGTTGTATGGTACAGTATTAAACACTTAAGTTGCGATTTCTTTGCGCACATAAAAACTTAAGTCAGATAATTCAGATAAATAAGTTTGAAATATACTAAATTTAATGTGTAACTAGTTCGTGATTATATAATAAAAAACAATAAAAATAAAAACTGTACTACATTGTTTTCATACCAATCGAATAAAACCCTCCCCTGTAAAGTTTTTGCATGCAAAAAGATTTGACTTAAGTGCTTTTAACTTCCGCATCTAGAATTTACTTGTCAAGCTACTATATACCTATATAAATTTAAATTTAGTTATCTACTTAAACCTTAAACATGACCACCCTCTGGACGACGTCTGCTCAAAACGCACGTCACTGTTAATTCGTTCATTTGCATTGAATAGTCTTTACTACTGCAAGATACGTTATATTGTTATTCTTTTTATTGTATGTAATTTATTAAAATTTTGTTTCGCAACGTGAATAGCATCTTAGTACGGACTTGATATTTTATTTGTGTTTTTTTAATTAGTAGACCAACGCTGCAGCCTGCAGAATATTATGACTACCAGGGATAGGTCGGCTTCACCAAGAGAGCGTATTAATTACAACAATTAAACAAGCGTAAAATAGCAGCATATTGTTCGTTCTTATGTGTGTTACAACAACGGTAGACCTCTTTTTCAAGAGCGTCGTATTTAACCGACTTAAAAAGAGAAGAAGTTTTAATATTATCTTTTTCTTACCGTTTTTTTTTTGGTTTTCATCTGTATGGTATGGTATATTACGCGCAGCATTCACTTTAAAAGCTAAGATGTGGAAATTATTTTATACTTTTTTGTTCTATGAAGTCATAGAAGTTATTGACTTTAAAGGCCAATATTACAATATTCTTAATCAGGAATATAAAAGAATAAATAAAACAAATAGCAGTAAATAAAAGCCCAAAATATATGCAAACAAAATTCTAATTAATGTGCTACAAACCATCGAAATTAATTAGTTTTACATTTCGTTACTCCGTTACAGCCTGTTGAATTCCACCGGTGAACATAGGCCTCGCCCATAGGCTACCTCATAGGGGGGATATTTGCCACAGCTGCCACGCCAGGCAAGCGGATTGGCAACCGCAGTTTTATATTTTTAGTCGTTCTTAGGAAGACTTTATTTAGTCGTTATTTAGGAAGATTGGTTCCCTCTGTCGGCTCACACGAGCTAGGGCTGCTAGGCGGTCCGGATTCTTCTGATATTTTAAATGATCCCCAGACTCCCGACAAAACTTAAAATCTCCACACAAACAGCTTCTCAGAAAGTTAACGTCTGGCCTTTGATGTAATAAAAGCTGAATTAGTAATTAGACTGAATTTTAAATCTTTTATGAATATATAACTAAAGCATCTAAATTGGTGAACACTAGTAAAGTCCAATGTCAAATACATGTGGCAACCTCAATAATAACTGTACTATTTATAGCTACAACCTTTATAATAACGTAGACTAGTTCACAATATTTAAATTCAAGTCCCTATTCACTGAACTACTTTCTTAAATGTTCGAACAATGCACCTATAGGAATTAATAAAACACAATATCAACAACCCATTGAATGTTAATCTACCTACGTTTTAACAGTACCTTTTTAGACCGCGCTCACTATTGTAGCGGTTTTGGCTTTGTCTTGCGCGTTGTTTCTAGTATGTCCCTTGAGCTTCAAAGATGTGAGTTCGAATCCGCCAACGGATTCCTGTCGTGAATCGCTGGGACAAAGAAGGGTTACTCTGTACTCGCATCTAATTATGACCTGTGGTGTTCGACGTATACCGCGTGTAGCGGGGCCACGGGAATGTTTTCGCACATGTCACATCCGCGGCCGCACTAGCTTCAACTATAATTAACGAATTTAAATCCATACCCAAGCATATTTTCCGTTGCAGTGGGAAAGACTTCAAGATACTGTAAACTAGTGCTGCGTAGATGGGACTAAAAATTAATATTAAAAAACTGAAGGTAGCCGGGCTAACTATGAAATTGAAATATTAAACATCTCAGTAGTCCCCCCGTGACCATGGGTGCTGTAAAGCACCTGAAAAGTCGGGAATTAAAAATAAGCTCATTAAACGCGATACAATCCGTATAAATAGCTTTATTCAGAGATAAGAGATGTAATATAGAAAGCTTTAGTTCTAGTTAACAGACTCTCCTGTTCTCTACACTCAATATAAGAAAACAGCAGCATAGCGCTGCCACTGGTATTCTGTGAGAGTGAAGTCCTACCGACCGACCTACCGACCCCGGTCTAGCCGACTCATTCGTGCTACAACCTACATCCATAATACAGCCGCACCATAGCTCTACCACGTAAAAATATAAAAACAATTATTGCAATATTGTGTTCAGAATTCAGAATATTGTTAATTCCGTAGTTCCCAATAAACCAGTTAAAGTAACCTATATCTGTGTAATGAATCAGTTTATAACTGGACGTTACCTATTAACGTGTGAGCGTCAATTAGTCTATCGCCGGGCGGTGCTGTTAGCTTACAATTTCCGACCCCGGTAGTTAAGTGATGAAGTGATTCGGGAAATTATTTTCATTTCCTTTGCACGGATGCTTGAACTGATTTCTTATCTGATTTAGTTCGCTCATACGGTAAGAAATAGAATTTATAAAAGGGAAAAAATATTTTCAACAATATTTTATTAGTTTGATTCGACTTCACTTGGGTAGTAACTTTTATTGTGCCATCATTTACATTAAAGTTAGTCTCTTTTATCAAATATTCCATTTTCAAAATAAAAACATCTATTTTTTCTGGAAATAATAATAGACTAGACCACTCATGAAATTACTCACAAACTGTTCGTGAAGCTTCATCGCAATCTGTTTTGACATTTCGAAGATTAGAGCGAACAAACAGCAGACGTACAAACGTTTTTTTAAATGGTGATTTATATCTTAATAACATGCAAATATCCTCCTGAACTTCAAAGAAGCGAGTTATTTCTATATAAGAGAGAAGACTGCAATTTTATTTCTATGTATTAGTGATGTAATGGAGGTTTGATTCCGATTACGAAGGTACTGAACTTCCGATTGATTTTGTACCTTCGATTCAGATTTCGGTTCCGATAAATTTTAATCGGAAGTTATACGGAGGTCGGTGCATAAGGGCGGTGGCAGCCGCTATCAGCGCGAACCTCCCTGAAATGATTGCTTTGCAATTGCAAGATCTTCCGTTCAATTTAGTGGAAAGTATTGGATTCAGACGACTTATGCAGTTCATAGTGCCGAATTATCAGTTAAGGTAAAGACAGTTTCTTACCGAATATATTTGCAATGAATAATGTGTGTCATTTTACACCTCTGGCTTCACCTCCGATTCCGGTTCCAGTTCCAGTTCCGAAAAACAAAATTTTTAAAAACGCTGCTTCCAATTCGGTTCCGATATAACCACCTCCGTAACATATGTGGGTAGATTTTTTATAAATATCAGCCGTCTATCTATATTGTTTAATTTTATACAGGCTGTCCTGTTAATAGTAGCCTAAACAAAATGTGGCGCGATATGAGACATGAGATCTCTGTATATATGTATCCCATCCAATGTACTTATAGTGGATGGCATATAATATAAGACGTCCACTGCTGAACATATGTAGTCTTCCGTAAATATCCTCATAGGAGGTATATTTGCTAGAGTTACCACTCGTGGCAACCACATTTTAAAGAAAGCTTCTTTAGGCGTTAATCTTTAGCTTTTTACGTTGGGTACTTTTAGGACGAGGATAAACACTGAACTCGCGTGACCGTTACGCTTAGATACATAAAATGTATTAAAGCAATGTGGAAAATCCAATTGATAAAATGGTTTTGTATTTATTTATTAATGTCGCCTAAATAGTTATATTAAAAACTTCAACCCTTAATTCATCAAAGTTATTTTCTCAAATTTGACACCCCTGGGGTATAAACCTAATTAATAAAAAATCAAAATTGGTTCACAATTAATGGAGATATCGCAAAACATACATATTTACTTACAAAAAACGGTCAAATTGTAAACAATAGTAGGTTAGGTATTTTTTAAAGCAACTAAAAATACCTCATTTCTCGTAATTCACTATACGCAACCATGCATTAGGCTGCGATTTCACGCTGGTATTCTGTGCAAGTGTAGTTACTACCGGTTGAGGTCAATAGATTGCGCGATAAGATTCACTTTGAATTTCTAACGTGTTATTATGTAAATAAAACAAAAAAATTAATAACCCTAGCATGACGCCACGGTTCTTTTTATGACTTTCTTTTTCACCCTAAACATGTGTTCAAGAAGTAAGTAACCTCTCTAGGTAGGTACTAACAGTACGTAACCAGCACTACCTACGCAAAGGACTCTTATTTACCTTCTTACCAGGCCGGCATTCTTAATCGAACTTTACAGGGCGATAAAGAATGGTCTGTTGAAGTTCATTGCTAGAACAAAGGTCTTTCACACTATATAAGTATATTGGCTTAATCGTCAAGCTTGGCTGGCGAATTGGCGATCTTAGTATCAGAGGTCTCGTACCTTCGACGTTACTTCTTGTCACTGGTGTAAGCATTTTACTTTTAGGGTAAACTAGATGGTCCGCTATCTATCGGAATTCACCACATATTTCTGGCGTTTCCTATAGTCGTCTCTTGACACCTACGGAACGAAATGGGCTCATGGATTCCCTTGCGCCGTCACCAACGGCAAGAGAATTGATGTTAACATACACGACTGCCATTTCAGCTTACTAATCCGGTTATGTGGGTTACTCTGGTTCTACTGCTGATATCCTCTAGTTCGCTGAGCAACCTTTAGCATCGGCAAAAGTGAAGAACCACGTCTACGATCGGATTACGGGATTCAAACCCGCAATCCGATATTTGCCTATCTGCAATTATTGTATTAAGCAAGCAAGCAATTATATTAATAAATAAAATAATTTATTCATTGATCAATATTATTTGACACAGCCGAGGTAACTCCGGGGCTAAGCGTTCGCCCTAATTTCGTAATACGCGAGCAACCTAAGTTCGATCTTCGCTGACATAAATTAAAATGCTTATTGGATTTTAGGTCTTGATATCTTGAGTAATTGAAGATATTTCGAGAACTTGAGAAATTCTATGTCAGCGCGGCCATATCTATTCTGCTTCATAACACTCTCGAAAATGAGAGAAAGCTTGTACTCATCTACTCGTACTCGTATTCTAGTTTGATGACCGCAGCAGGATCTGTTGATGTTTCAGAGTTGAACTCCTTCTGAATTGATGGCTGTGGCGATTTAGCGTATGAACATGACGACCGTGACAAAGATGAAACAGGCCTATCGGTGCCGTAGCTTTCGGCGTAAATTAACTGATTTATTTTGATCATTAATAAGTCTCTGCGACTTTCTGGAAGTTTACGCAGCTTCTTGGCGACGAGTTTTCCAAATATATAACATTCATCGTCCTCTTCATTTGATTGTCGCTCAAGTTCAGGCAAAGAATGCTTCCTCTTCCCAGATGTACTTACTACGGATCTGCGTTCTGAGGACGAACATTCTGGATATGTATATTCTTGTTGCGAGAATATTATATACGGGGACGGTTCAACTTCTGAATTCGATTTAACAGTATTTGGGCTCCCTGTATCGTCTTCATCGATATTTATCTCTTCTATGTGATGGCTATTTTGAACATCCTGCAATTAAAAAAAAATAAATTCATTTTCTATGATTTTCATTTACAGATATCGATAACAGATATATTTTTTAAAGAATTAGTGTGACATGCGTACTATTAGTACATTTGATTATAAGTGGGTGCTGCGTCCCATAGTCATATACATATAATTAAGAATCAATATGCGATGCACTATCACTGAGGAGCACAAGAGGAAAAAAGCTCTCCGATCCTCGACACTCGCCATGCGAAATACAGCAGCATTAAGTTGTCATATTTATAGATATACTTATCTTATAATTATTACGTACATATTATGATTTAGAGATAAGTAAAGATATAATCAGAGATATTGGATGAAAAGAAGTTGGCAAATATGAAAAGTGGCAAGTGACCCCAGCGTCTAAACGGTGATAAGTGATTACGCAGAATTCATTTGATAACTCCTGGCATATTAACCGAGCAAATTTTGTTTGAGCAACATTTATAAAGTTAGTTGTTTAAAAGAATAAGACAGTTTGCATATAATATTTTCCCTGAGAAAAAATCTAGGATTAATATCAAATAATTTTATTTGCGTACGAATAATTCAGTCAGAGTCAAAAGAAAAGTTATTATAAAATAAAGTATTAAAAGATAAAATCGCTAGGTCACGAACTTAGGGTTCCACAAACGACAGAGCAGCTAGTGGCGAAGAGCACTACTCACCCACGCAATCTACGAAGTTATTATTAAAATAAACTCTTACATTATCTGTCTGATATTTTTATGTATCGATAGTCTTGAGATCGATGAACTCTGATGAACAGAAAATCATGGAATGCTTTTATTCATAATACCAAAGGTTTTAGATGAAAAATGGGACGGTGCTCAAGTAAATTATGAAAAACAGGACTAGGTATATCAATGTTAGTGAAGTGCAGTTATTTTGCTACTTCGTAACGTGTGTCCATAGTTCACCAAAACCGATATATAGAACTGTTTTATTAAATTATTTCTAATTGCCATAGACTACCTACCCCAAAATTTCATCAGTTCTCCGACCATTTTTTCACCATAAAATACTATAAACATTTATTTCCTGATTATATCTTATTACTGATTTATATTGTCGATCGTGGTATTCGTTTTAAAATAAAACCTTTATTTTATGCAGAAAAATACAATATTAGATATATTTACACAGTAAAATTTGTATAAAAAGCTAGATAGAAACAAGCTAGCACGACAAAACTGAAGCCCAGTATAATAATATGGATTTATATACTGTGACTGAACGACGCGTCGGAAACTGGTCAATTAGCCACTCCGTCACTACGGCACTACACATACTAACAAACATAATGCCATGATTACGTAAGCTTAAAGACAAGGACAACAACTTTCCAGAACAGGAACACGAAGAGCGAAAGAGAAAGTAGTGATGTGTACGTAAAACGTTAAAATGTGCATGTGTGCTGCCGCTGGCACGGCCGAGTTCGGAACATTTTCTGCGGTGGCATGCCGCATGGTGGACATATAATTATAATGCATCGTTTAGATACTCGTCGAGCGCAGACGAATATGCACGAGTTTGAATAAGTAAACGATTTGTTCGGGTGTGTTGGCCTACTGGTTGCAACCTACTTGGCCCGAGTATTCGACTGTTCTCCACTCGATGTCGGTTTTTTAACACGATTTAAAAGGATGCCCGTGTGCATTCGTATCGGTGATCACAAATTCGTCATTATTCAGCTGACCTGTGAATTGTCATCATGATTTACTTAGCCCATCTGCCGTCATAATTTGCTCTAATACCTTTCTTTGACAAAATATTTAAAGTTATATAAGTTACATACTTCAGTTCAGCTAAAATTAAAAATTTCACAAGATCGAAACCAATTTTGTATATTCTACATAATACTATCTATTTCTACCACTGCCATCTTTTTTTACTTAAAATTTGATTAAGTTTATAAAAGTTAAGTAGACACAATGTCACCAAAGTTTAATAAATCTACGTTGAATAAATACAAATGAATATGTAAACGCGTCATACTCGTCCACGAATAACCTCGGCGAGTTGTTCGTCCGATAATCTAAACGCGCCATAGCGTGTCTATAAAAATATCGTAGGATATACAAAGCCATCGTACACGACGACACGAATAAGCGATCACAGGTTTTTGAAGAAACCATGTTATTCCTAAACGCAAAAGGCAGTCGGAATAAATATATATTTACATGTTTATCAACTAATTCCAAGACTGTTTAAAATAAAATGCTTTGTTACTCACTTTAATACTCATCGACTGGTTGCATTTATAGATAGACCCGAGAAAACCATCTATATAAGAGAATGCGAACCATGAAGGTTGATAAACGTCGTCGGAGCTTGATCCTAACACTTCCGATTTCTTAATTTTAGTTTTGTAATTTCTATACGCAGCCATTAAGGAATCTTTTTTCCTCTTAAGATCTTTAACAGTGCATGGCACACCTAAACTATTTTGTATGTCTACCCATGCGTCGTTCACACGGTTTTTATTTTTATAAAACGTGTGTTTAGGGTCCCAAATACACGGATGTTTTTCGTACAATTTTATAAATTCCAAAACAATCTCGTTCGTCCAGTCCATTTTGACGCGTAGTATATTATCAATTTTGACACGTCTTAACCGATACCCGGCGTGCGCACTACTGAAGCAGGTTCGTTGTTCGTGCTTGTGTGTCCGTGACCGGTATAGCGAATATTCAGTTATGTGGGTCCTCTATGTGTGTGTGTTTGGTTATCGATGAGCGGGCGGCAACGCGTGTTCGCTGTTAGTTATTTGTACTATTTGTGGTGGTTAGAGCAAATAAAGACGAATAACTTTACAGATAGAGCTGCTTACAGCGCAATAACAAACAAAGCGAACACGCGAACTCAGGACGTGATGTAAAATTCAACGCCCGACCACATTGAACTTCAAATTAATATTATAATTTATAATGCTTTCTAATGTAATTTGCATAAACATCTTTTAAAGGAGTTATCGCGTTTAATTATTAATCTAATTGAATTCCCAGTGTTTCAAGTGCTCACAGACAGGGGTTATTAATTTTCTTATATCTAATTTTTAAATATTAAGTAAATATTTTCGAGATCGTTCACGGTTCACGTAAACGAAGCGTGATGTCTGGTTTCGATGATGTTGACGCTGTTGGTCTATGGAGCTCTTACAGCTTCATTGGTCTCAGGGCAGCTTAAAATTAAAAAGGGTTTTACTGTGTCAAACCGTATCGTTACTTGCGTAACGATGTTCGCCTACGTCAGTTTAGAGTGCACGTAATTGAGTAATTTAACGGAATGGCGGGTCCTCGACTCTGACGGCTAACTCGTGTCGGTCGATGTTCTGGGCGGTGAGAACCGTGTACGGTGTGTACGCGGTGTGGAGGGGTGCACGGCGCACCCATCTACGGACTCGCTGTGTCCCATCCGATATACTAATTGTGTGCCTTGTGTGTAGTGTTCGCGTGTGACTGGCGTATGTTTCTGTATATTTATTACTGTACTCTATGGGCGTATGGGTCGTCCGAATCTGACGGGTGGTTCAATTAAAACGTTACAATGCCCCCGGAGACTTTCCGTAACGTTTAGAGTCGGGGTGTAGGTGGACGAAGAGTGAGTGTTTGAGACGTGAAGGGGAAGAGGGCGCGCGAGTCGTGCCGGTCTCCACCACTATATCGGGAGTCCTCGCGTCACAAAATTCATTTCTATACAATATGGCGTTTCCCTTAGCGAGCGACTTTGAGCGTTCGGTCCGCGACTCTCGTTACAATTTATCGCGCAAGAAATCTGCAAGACGCCTCAGCCTACAGCACGAACGTAGTATTATTTTTTCAACATCAATAAACTATTTTATGAAAATAGACACGGCATACAATGATAAATGTATTTTAATTTTCAACATTCGGTATATTAGCTGCATTATATTAGAATTATGTATTCATATATGTATGTTACCCAATTAATAAAAATGACTATTTTGATTATTTTTAACTATATACTATACTGCTAATATTAAATTAGCTTTTTATAGTGTAAATTATAATATTTGTCGAAATGTTAATGATGGATTCGAACTTTACATGCTAATGTGCTTCATTTTTGTTATTTTCATTTACTTACATATTGGACGAGGAATTTACTACGAATAATTTAATTGAAAATATACTTGAATAGTAGGTATTATTATTTTATTTAGCTACAGCATTTATGGGATATATATTTTACCTTGAGGCCAAATATAATTTTGAGGAGCAACAGTAATTACTTAATCTTTTATCTGCTATTCCTTATTTAGGAACAATATCAGTAAATTGAGTTTGAGGGAGATTTGCTGTTTATAATGCTACATTTATTATTTTAATATTTACTGAGTAACTAATTAGATATTTTTTACCCAGTTACAATACCTAATCAGGTATTGTGATTATTTGTGATTAGGAATACTGGGTTGGTATTAATTAATAATAGTAGTAAGTAAGTAGTAATAAAGTCAATTTTATTATCTTGAATGTAAGAAATTGATAACAAAATTTTTAACTTCCTTAAATTACGAAGCCGTGGTAGCTCAGATGGTTAACGCTCGCTGTAAATATAACAGAACGCGAGTAACCCGGGTTCGAACCCCGCCGGCACCAATGAAATTGTTAATTGCAATTTTAAGTGCTGATTTACCACGTGCTCGACGGTGAAGGAAAACATCGTGAGGAAACCTGCATGTCTGAGGAATAAGAAAAAAAAATATTTCGAAGACATGTGAAGTTCGCCAACACGCATTGGGGCAGCGCGGCGGACACTTCTTTGCCCTAAAACCCCCCTCAGAAATGAGGGGGAGGCCTGTGCCCAGCAGTGGGACGTATATAGGCTGTAACTTTACTTTTTTACTTTAAATTATGAACAAATAGCCGCAGCTATTAAATAAACATACACACATACATACACCCTATATATATATATATATATATATATATATATATATATATATATATATATATATATATATATATATATATATATAGGGTGTATGTATGTGTATATGTTCATTATATATATATATATATATATATATATAACCTAATAATTATTTAGTAGCAGTGTACAGTGACTTCGATCACTGATCATAAAATAAAACTTTAATTTTAGGTATTTACCTATGAAATTGCTGTTTTTTTATGAAATAAGTTAACGTAATTTTTTATATATATATGTTTTATTTTGATTAATCACATTACTCACCCATACAATCGATGCATCTTTGCCAGCACAGTGGCAGTTTATTGATGCCGTTCTTGAAGAAATCAACTGGACGGGTGAAGAACGGAAGTAGGCGCAAGGTATGGTCAGTACGGAAAATGACGGAGAGCTTCCTACTTCAGCTCTTGTAACTTGGAGACCGTCTGTTATGCAGTATAAGGTCATGCGTTGTCGCAGAGGATGAGCGATTGACCGGAGCTGGTTGGAGACGTGCGAGCTTCTCCATCACTGTGTACAGTTCTTCACAGTACACAGTCGTACAGTCAAAATTTTACGTTGAAATGTCGGCTTTGCAATCAAAAGTTTGTCATAAACGGAGACAATTGCAGTGACAGCTACATTAATATTAATATGTGCGCTGTCGCAGGTACTTTTGCAATAGGTGAGGGTCATTCACAGCTGGATGCACTTATGGTAGCATCAACGTCCCCATTTTCCGAGAAATAAGCTTCTATATCCAGGCAAAGTTAATGGCATTTCCTCTACTTTGCCTAGGCAAAAATATCGCAGTTTAAAATGCGTTTCTAAATAAACAGATTTCGCTCCCATATAGTATTGGTTTATTATTCCTATTTATCCATGACATAAAGTGTAAAACTTTAATTTTTTTTATTAAGAAACTAGGCAATGTTAAGCATATATTTTGAACATTTAGTCACTTTATGGGAAATCTTTCAGAATTGTCACCTTGTAATCGTAGGAAAGAAAAAACATATTTATTAACAAGGGTCATTCCGTTTATCCACCCTAAGGTAAAATAAGTTAAATATGTTCTTTATTATTATTAGTGTAATAAAGTTATATACATCTCATTGGTACATAAATAGCTAAATTAACAAATTATACTTAAAAACATTTGAAAATTACGTTTATAAGCTAAAATTATTAATCAATAAAAATAAATATTATCTTCATTCATCCTGCATTAAAACGTATTCGTCAGGATTTTTCATGACAAAATATGTACGTTGACTTTATTTAAAATGGTACGCCTGGAAATCCCGAATTGCTTTTGATTAATTGCTATTGATACGAATTTCTTAGATTTTATGAGATCAACAACTAAGTTTAGCATTTTGAGACAATAATTCACGTAATGCTGACATTTTTTTCATTTATTTTTGTTTTGAGAACTGGTGTTTTTCTTGTTTCGAGACATCTTCTACCTACCACCTTCTATCTAACAATTATAAGGTACGTTTAAGACTATTAAGTTCTAAAATGGAGGTATCTATCTAAACAAATAAATGGTAGTCAAACGCAGGTCTATTCTCAAATAACAAATTTAATAAATTTATTATATTTATAGGTAGTAACATATGAAAATAATAAGTTTTTTAGGATATTTATGTAAAACGTAAAGGTTATATTATTTTCCAACTACGTTTACGCTTGCGCATATAAAACCGCGGAATTTCACTATAGTTTTATTATTAGAATAATAATTGACAACCCTACCCTAAGTTTGTCTTGGTTATACCAACTTAAACTCGTTTCAGAAGATGAAAACATAGAAAGAAGGATAGGAGACTATTTTTTATTTAATATGATTCACCAAATCCGTAAAAATAGTTTAAAGTACTCACACAATAAATTTTTTAAGTGCAGGTAAAATATCTGCGACCACAATTTGCACAATTCTGACGTTCACAGACGTTTCATAGTCCAGTCACTTTAGGGGAAAAAGGGGTCAATCTCGGAATTTGAGATGAAAAGCTGGAAACTCATGTACAGCTTCATTTTGGCGTCTAAAAATTGTCTCAAGTCTCATATTACGTCGTGTCTGCGTCGTTAGTTATACGAGGTCAAAGGTCACGAAAATAGGTTTTTTTGCAATTATCTTCGTTTCTATGGTTCCAATAACTTCAACACGTATTATAAAAATTAAAGATAAAAAAATTTGCCACAACTTTTTTTCTATATGCTCAACCCTTTTCGAGATAGAGGGCGCAGAGCACTCAGCGCTCAGGCATATATACTGTAATACAAGGTCAACAGCGAATCTCGGTGAATAATACATAACTAATAAAGATTATTATTAATTTAAATATAATAATAATTGGTATTATACTTAATTATTGTAATATATATTATTAATTATTATGTAGTATATATTAAATGAAGCTGTACACCAGTTTCCAGCTTTTTATCTCAAATTCCGAGGTGAAACCCTAAAGTGACTGGACTATCAAAACTTTTTTGCCAGAACCAAAAGTAAGCGTTGGTATGCGACAAAAATTGTACCATAAATAAAATAAAGTCTCTAGCTTGAATAGCCTACTAATGAAATTCAAATGATCGGTTTAGGCAAAGTAAGGCTAGGTAGGTCAAATTAGGGCATTTTACGGTACTTATTTAGATATTTTTTACCTAATCACAAGCACAAGTGCGTACCTAATCACAATAGCTACTAAGGTATTTTGATTAGGATATAGGTATTGATCGCATGGGAGTTATCTCTAATGCTGCGGCTACACTAACAAGCAACGTCAATGCCCATAAACGCAACAATTATTGCCTTAAATTTAACTCGATAAAATGAGTGGCTACACTTGAACGCTCAACGTCGTTTCTATTTCAACGCCGTTGAACGGCATTAAATTTGCCGTTGAACGGCGTTAAATGTTTTTATTAAGAGGATACCTCGAAAATTAATTGTTGTTTTGGGGGCGTGGCTTAGCTCTACCTGCCCACTGAGTGGGACCTATCGCACCTCGCTCGTCGACGCGTTATCAAAATTCGCACAGTGCTATGGAGCCGACATTCGTTCTTTTAATTTTATAGGAAAAAAAATATTTGTTACTTGTATTTTCAAAAACACATTATTTTTTTTTTAAATTTGCACAAATATACCTATTTCTCGTCATTCTTTAGTTAGTAAATAATTTTTATCACCTTGGACCATTTCTTTATAACAAAATCAATAAAATTACTGAAATTGATTCTTTAATTAAAAATGCAAAATTAAATTATTTGAACTTCTTCATTAGTTAAACTGTAAAGAAACTGAAGCATTACCTTGCTACAAGTTAATATGGCTTAACCTTCTTACACGTACGTTATACACAAAGAGGTACATTTTTATACACATTTTAAAAATATATTTATCACAAAACACATCTTTATGAGTATGTTTCACATTTTACCATTTACCTTCTATTTGAATTACACTTATGTAAGTCTGTAACCTATAAAAAGAAAGAGCGAGTATCTGTATCTGAAATACACACATATATATTAATCTAGTGAAGACACAGATGTTTTATTACACATTGTGAACTAAGTATAGATCATAAGGTAGTTATTTATAAATATAATAGATATGCAAGTAGTAAAAAAAAGTATTATTATTATATACTAGCTTTCGCCTTTAATAGCATTTAAAATATTAGTTGGAGTAGGATTACGTCGTAATGTTTATGTTACCGGAAACGTATATATACAACATGAATATAATATCTAGATAAAGTGAAACTAAAAGTCAAATCATTTATTTCAATTTATATAAAGGTACTATAGAAAATTACAACACACTTAAATAGGAATCACATTAATTAAAACATTTTTATATATCTATAAGTCACCAAAATCTAAATTTTTGAAATTCGAGTTTTCCTGTTCTTTGAACACAATTTCTTTATTTTGTCTTCTATTAGGACGTTCTTCTTCCAACTCTATACCCGACGCTTCTCCCTCCTCTGTATCTTTCGCACAAATAGATGTTTTGGCGGATTTATTTTTTGTTACGATAAAATAGTCAGGTTCTCGTATGGATCTATTTCTTGTGTGTCGTGGATCAACAAGTTCGGGTAAAAGGCAGTCAAAGTAAAAGGATAACATCTTCGGGTCCATTTTTGTTTCCCAATAGTGGTCATCTTTCAAAATTAATTCGGTCTTTATTTTCTTTTCCCCATACCAAACTGCGAGTAAACATTTTTGTACAACATTCAGACAAAACATGTTTGTCTGAATTGTACTACACTTGTCTAGTTTTTTTTATCAAAGCGCCAAAAATGCATGTCGATTCCTATTTTAAAAGGCGCAATCGGACATTTGATTTCTATGAGCATGTCACCAGCATCCGTTATGCCATCCGGTGATGCTCCTAACAATGGATACTTTTCATCTATAAAAAGTCCACATTGTTTGATTTTTAACGTATTTAAAGTAATAAGTTGCTCTAAAGCAAGTTTTTCGTTTTTTTCCCCGTGACTTATAGACGATACATGGTCAATATATGGTCTATACATGTTTTTGACTATATTTGCGCAACTATTTGTTTTTATCCTTTTTACCACCTTACTGAAATTGGATGCTGTTAAAAGATTTATTCTTAACTCCAACCACTCACCGCTCTCACTTTGTAATATTGTCCGTTGTTGTATACTTTTACGTTCTTCTTCAGTTTTCTCTAAATTGTTGAGGAATGTTTGCTTGACAAGATTGTACGTTTCCGGGTCCATATGAGGTTTGTCGGCATATTCACCATAATAAAAATCTATTTTCTTAGATGCTAAACGACGGCTTTTCTTTCTTTTCATAGTTTGATTATATTTTCTTTTTTGTCTATTTTTTCTTCATATTTTTTTATTCCTGATACCGGACTTTCATCAAAATTATTTTGTGGACAGTCGTCATTATTTTCCCAGAATTAAATGACACTACTGCCCCAGCACATCTTGCTCGGTAAGTTCGTTTAAGGGCATAGTTTATTCTTTTTCCACCAATAAATTTTGCAACCACACCATTAAATCGCTCGACAATGTTGCTATCAACGTTCTCAATCAAACTTCTTCAGAAGTTTGCACTGCCGACTATGAACCGAATCCGTTGCCAGAGACTAGTACGTATAGCAAGTTTTGGTTTTGAAGTGCCTCCTGCACTACAAATATCATGGTTACAAGCACCGTGATCTTCCGTTGCATGAGACATGCCAATTGTATGTGAAGGTTAATGAATTGAGTCACATATATATTTTCACGCTTTTAATATGACATATTTGATAATATATTTCTTTGTGCAAGAGGGTCCTTGGTGTCATTTTTCAATGTCTGCAATTTGTTGCAGAAATTTCTAAGAATATGGTTTTTGCAACCAATTTTTTCGACAGTTATAGAAGGGTATGGCCGGATATCAAGAATTTTTGCATATGTGCTACTGTCGCCATCAGCAATGTATCTTCCATATATCAGTCCATGCATTTCAATGGATTGTTTGAATCCTTCAGCAATAATAGAAGATTCCATAGCCGTTGAAGATCTACTATAGTTTTTAAAGTATTCGTGAAATCTAACCGTCTCATTTCGTTTTTCCGCTCTTGCACAAATACAGAAATATTTATTTTTAACTGCCATAAACAAAACCTGACCAAATCGTCTACCTATTATGGTTGCAGCTCCAGATAATGCTGTATAATTGGTTCTATAAGAACGTTTGCACCAACAACCATCTAGGATTACGTTAATTATAGGTATTCCGTCTTTAGTCACGCTCCCTTCCTTAATAGCTGCTTCTCTCTCCCGATCTCCAGCTTTTCTTATTTCTTCCCATGCGGTCACCTCCCATTCATCACATACTAAATCTTGATTAATTTTATAGATGTGTTCGGACATGACTGGTAAATCAAGGAATGTTGTTAATCGATTTAGTTACCACACCCAGCTGCCACCATCCCAGCAACTGACATTTTGTTTAAATTAAGCGTTGAGTTCTGTATTTTGAATTGTTTTTTACACATTGAACATGTGAATGTAAAAACAGATGATAGACCAGAAACTTTTTCAAATTTTAATTCCATTGTATTTAGACCGCAATTAAACAGCGATTCGTGGCTTGAAATCCTGCTCACTTCGTCAGAAAAATGTTTAACATCGATAACTCTATGTCCTCTAATGTCAGAAGTATTGGAAAGTATTCTAAAAAAATTGTTGATTTTTTTTTAGTATCAAGGTTGTGGAATCAGTGGAAGTAGAATACAATCGAATTGTGAGGTTTGGTCTTTGGCAAATATATACAGTAAAAATAATGAAATTCAAATACTCACATTACTACTAACCTCAACCGTGTATAACACTGGTTCACCATTATTTACAATTGGTGATAATGCCGTGGGAGACAAAGTGTCGTCACCACAAGGTTGCTGCATTTTGATTCTGAAATAAAATAAAAACAGCATAAGTTCCTACAAACTAAAATGTAAATATATTTAAACATAATATTCTCAAAATAACTCAATTGTTGATTTCAGTCTCTTCCTTTTTTACAGTCTAAAGGCGACGCCACCGTATTTATTTTCTTTGTTCTGATAACGCAAGCGGCCGACGGCGCGGCGGCTGCGTTATAGTGATATCACTAAGTTATTGTTCTACTCTGGAAATGTATGATTATAAATTACAAATTTTCAATAGGTAATCGAAGATAAATGAATATGTATATTGTAATTTCAACTTTAATGGAATAGAAAACTTACTATTGGATTGAAAACTTACAGATAACTATTTTGGAAGGAGGTAATAGCGACTAATTGCTGGCCATCTAGGTTTAGCAATGACGCGGGCGCTACTCTACTATTATCATCTACGTTATCATCTAATTGTACTGTGGTCTTTATTCTGAAAAAAAAAAAAAACTCATTGGTAAAATAGGGATCTACTTACGCACCTATGTATTTGCAATCTACATATTTCGTATCGCAGATTACATTATAATGTTTCATAAATATTTATAATATATTGAGGTATACAATTTTATTTTTTGTGGGTGTAGATAAAGTGTATATTATGTAATTACTTACGTTTTACTTTCCCTCATTCTACAAGCTTTTCCTCTCAGGTACTCCAAATATTGTATTTTATTCATTTTTTGCATTTTAGTTTTCCCCATTTTTTCAATTTAAATTTTTTAGGTTATTTATTATAATATATATATATATATATATATATATATATATATATATATATATATATATATATATATATATATATAAGATACCATTAACAGAAACTCTATACTGTATTACACACTCGAAACTATTTCCGCGATTACGCCGATTAATTAAACACAGGTCCGTCGTCGATGAAGCCCACGGGCGATTAAGGGAGGAGGGAGTGTCAAAATGAAAGCGATGCACTCACTTCATCACTTCATGTATGTAAATTATGAGATAGCTATACCGAGCACGCGCTCGGAAATAAACTACGTAAGCGCCATACATCATTTTTTTTTTAACAAAACTACGTTGTGGATTAAAAAAATGGTTTATGTAAACTTAGATATGATTATTTACTATGCTTTAAAAATAATTCCATGAACTAATTCGTAAAAATATTGTGGTGGCACGGAAAAATGTAAATAATTAGAGTCCACTTTAGAATTATTTTCCATGGAGAAAAATTACACGTTATCATGTTTTCCTTTTATGCAATCCAAGATCATATAGTCAAAAAACATATACCGAAAATTTGTTTCATAATCTTTAATACTTAAAGAAATATGCGAAATAGAAAAACCAACAAATGTTCGAGATATCACCTTAAATGTTGCTTGAATTTCAAGCAAGATGGACGTTGACGCAGCTACTCCATATTTGATGTAAGTATACATTTTTATTATATGAATATAATTTATCATTGCCGAATTTTTCGTGGTAGAGCTATGCTGCAGTTATATTAGTAGTATAGTTGTAGCACGAATGCGTCGGCTCGACCGGGGAAGGACCACGCTCTCACAGAATATCAGCGTAAAATAGTAGCTTAATGCTGCTGTGTTTCATATGGTGAGTGTAGAGAACCGGAGACTCTTTTTACTGGAACCGAGGCATTCCATCCTAGTCCTCACGGGTGACAACGCATCTGCATTTTGATTCGTAATCGAGGATAGATGTAGATGTCTATGGGCCACAGCATCCACATACCATCAGATGGACTGTGTGCTCGTTTGTCATCCTATCCTATAAAATAAAAAAAATAAACGAAGAAAAAAAGAATACAAGGAAAAAGAAGATGGTGGATGCACTGCAGGACACGTACACTGTAAATCTATTTATGTTTTATTTTGTTTTCCCGCGCCCAAATTGCATTAGAAAGACGTCCAATGGTTTAAGCTAAATAATAAGACAAACGTAAATATATTTTAATGAAATAATAATTAATAAGCCAAACATAAATACTGGTCTAGTGCGAATTAGATACACGTACCCAGGGTTTCGTACCACTGTACACTATGAATTTCGACCTGCAAAAATTTTTTTTTCTCCTTATTATTTTTCTTAGTTTCATACCGTAAATTAAAGTGTACTTCTGAAGTCATTTTTTTAAATTCAATCTCGAAAAGCTTTTTCATTACTCCACTCCATCGCAGGCAAACGTGCAACCCCGTTGCACTCACCGTGCACAATGAAACAAACGTAGTGTGGCCGCTTCAACGCGATAATTCGCGCGTTAATCGGGAATCGGCATTATTAATGCCGTTGTCAAATTATCGCGTTAATTCGTGGCCACACCTACATTCAACGTCCATCAAGGCAACAATTAACGGCATTTCTCCTTAGTGTAGCCGCAGCATTACGACATGTTAGATACGAGTACATTACAGTTACGTTTGCATGAGGGCGTCGCGGCGCGGTGATCTATTTCGAGACGGCAAGTTCACTATCGTCGCCCAATTTCTAGTGATGTCCACTATTCATGTTGTAAGATATCGATATTTGTTAAGTAAATACTAAAATACTACCCTGTTGGTCTAGTGGTTGTAGTAGTGCGACTTCTGATCATGTGGTCCTGGGTTCGAATCCAGGGTTGGGGCAAAAAATTATTTATTGAGTTTTCCGTCAAGAAATTCTCAGTAGCTGCTACATTTGTGCACCATAATATCTACAAACCAAAAAATTAAATTTTATACTATCGCGGTCCCCTCGTTTATTGGTTCCAGAAATCCGAAAAATCACCCGATTTCGATGATTTTTTTTTGAATCTTAATTTTACGGCGGATTTACAAAAAAATTACAGAAATTTAAAGAAATGAAAATTTATATTGGTTTCGGAAAATGCACTCATTCAAGTATAATTGTTGATAACTTTTTTACAAATAATCGAATGAAGTTCTTATTTTTTTTTCATAATCTACACAAAAAACAAAAAAATAAATAAAAAAACCTTTGAAAAATGTTTGTTTATTATTTTTTTATTTTGGTGTTTTATTGAGTGTAAGATCCGGAGAAGCGTGCTCGGGACTTCCACACTTCCATTGCTTCGGGGCATCCCGACTCAGACAGGTTAGGTTAGAAGGAGATGGCGGGGTCGAGTGAGCTAGCGAATAGACCCAGCCTTTGTGGTTATTTTCATATAAGCCACTCAGAAGTAGGAGCCCCGCGAAGCGAGCCTCCGTCGACCGGGCTTCCCTCGACAGTGATACTGGAGAGAGTTGAGGGAGGGAAGCGCCACGCCACTCAACGTAGCACAGCCGAGGGAAGCCCGGTCGATGGAGCCCCACGAAGCGGGGCTCCTACTACTGAGTGGTTTATGACAAAATAACCACGAAACGGATGGCGGGGTCTATTCGCTCGCTCACTCGATCCCGCAATCTCCTTCTAACCTAACCTGTCCGAGTCGGGATGCCCTAAGTCCCGAGCTAGCTTCGCTAAGAAATTAATAAAAAACGTTACTACGTGATTTATTTTAAAAAAATTTAAATGTTCGTTTTTGTGTAGATTAACAAAAAACAAAGTTTTTAAATGCTTTGCAAAAAAGTTATGAACGATTATATCCGAAAAAGTGTGTTTACGATCACATTTAAAGTCATAAAACTATATATCTTCAGGTGAGATATTTTCCATATTTTTTCATAAATCCGCCATAACAACGAAGATTTTAAAAAGAATCATTGAAATCAGATGATTTATCGATTTTCTAGAGCCAAAAAACGAGCGGACCGGGAAAGTATATAATTACCAATTAAATAAACAAACCTCTACATCTTCAACCATTTCAGTTGAACCAAGACAGATAAATTGTAATTCTATGGTTTCTTGACTTGTTTTGTTTACTGCCGTATCCCCATTATTCGTATTTAGCCTGCAATAAAGAATTAATAATATTAGATCTTGCATGAAAACAAAACGGAATGACTTGTATTAAATCATTTAAATACATATTTTAGCTATATATTTGAAAAGGTTTATATTATTTATATGGTAACCACAAAAAATATCACATCAAATTTCATAAATTCTGTTTGTAATTTCACAACTCTAATGGTCGCCACACACGGTCAGTTCAACTGATAAGTTCAAACTAAAACTGTTGATATTTTTTAAAATATTGGATTTTCGATATATCTATAAATATACTTATATATAAAACTCCGATATTGATATATTTATATTATCGATATATCGAAAGTTCAATATTTTAAAAAATATCAACAGTTTTACTTTGAACTGATCCGTTGAACTGACCGTGGCGTCTTTTGTGGATTCAAAAGCACGCCCTGCGCCCGACTTACCCATTATCATTTTCAATTATTGGTAAACTTGAATTTTTGTCGTCAAATTCGCATTCATGTATTTTTCTTCTCTTCCTAAAATAAAAAGATACTATGTATTATCAATTATCATGTAGGAATTTAACGGAATAAAAGTAAGTAAACTTTGAATAATACATCAAATTACTTACAGAATTTCATTCATCTTTAGAGCATTTTGACGTCGTTGACGTTTATTCTTCCCGAATTTAGGCATTTACAATAATCAACCCACAATTTACATATAATTATATTTTCACAATAATACAATCGTCTTCTTGTGGTAAAAAAACACGTAAGCGCATCGGTTGGTAGATATGAGTACTCAAATAATAATAATGTTTGCGGCGAAACACGACGCGAGAGCGACACGGCTTCCTCGTACGAACGCATACAGCGTACTGCCGCCCGCACTCTGCGCCCCTTTACCTTTACTTTATCATAAAATTCACACAACTTTTGAAATTATACAAGAAAAGCCAACTTAAGAAATGAAATAAAACGTGAATAATATGGATTTTTAAATTATCTATCCATTAGTGTAATCCTCAAATGATTAGAGCGTTGCATTTAGCAACAGATGCATGTAATCAATAATGTGTCATTTTTTTAAAATTGATTTTAAATGTTTTTATAACACATAAAAACAAATTAGAACGTGGAATGTGATGATAGAATATCGAACTTTAATAATGCGCTTTTAGATGTAGTTTATTTCTCATAACTAATGAGATAATAGTCTCTGAAAAACGCACTATCGCAAGGTTTTGGTCGGGGTGTCGCCTTCGCGCAATGACCTAGAGGATTTGGTCCCGCAACTAGTATTGTTGTTTCTAGGCGCCTTTTGTGTGTCACAGTGTTATCACTTAAGATGATAAGAGCTTTTGCCTATTTTAGTCGCTCTCTGAGAGACCTAATACATTTTATTCCAAGTCTTGTAGGAGTTGATTACATTAATTCCTATTTATTTTAAAATACCTAAATAATGCACCGTGCCTGCTGTTTACTGTAAGACTTTAGTAATGAATATACCTAGTAAGAATTTACTAGTTTTATTCACTTATCAATAGGAGCCCGGGCAATTATTTATTTTGTGGCCCGGGTGCGATAAGGTCTGACGATGACCAGATGCTTATCAAATCTCAGTAACGGAAGTAGATGCCTAGCTTTTAATATTTACCTAATTGAGCACGGGCTTTACTACATAATACGTTCTGAAGGCCTGATAATTATTGATTTATATATTACACTAGATTAATAATTACCGCGCCAAAGCGTTACACATATGGCCACAGCCATATGCCTAGCTAACGTCAGTTCAGTGTTTATTTAAGATGTTTAGTAATTCTAATTTCAAAGCTAAG